TCAGCAAGGACATGTAGTTGTTGTTGTATCAGCTTCTACTGATGTGTTACTTCTGATTCTTCTCAACCTGGGTCCGCTTTTAACTCCAAATTCAAGAAGGAAGTAACCAGTATATGTTGGATCCATAACGACAGAGGTGTTAGATGAGTAGGTTTGGCTGGGCAGTGAAACAGGTTCAACGTGTGAGCCTGCGCCACATGCTGTCAATGCGGGTCTAATACGAATTGAGGTGGCCAAACTACTACTCGGGTTTGTAAGGGCAGATCTCAATCTTCAGCTCTGTTGGGACCGCGTCAGTTTGAATAGAATTCAGTCCACCTTGACAGACTTGTTGGAGGCTCCTTTTTATTCCTCAGTACCTCTCCCTGTCTAGATCATGAAGTTTTCCCTTACGTGCCTGGGCGGAGGTTGTCCAGCCACTAGATGGTTATTGGAATGACTCTTCATTTTTTCATATCCCTCCGCCATAATATGAATGTTATATTACATTTGTCCTGTTATCATTATTACACATTCCTGTGTGTTTGGTATTGAAAATTATATAACTGTACCGACAGATTTTAAGATTTTGTTTGTTCCTTACATTTTTGAATGGTATAAGAATATTTTGAGTTAAAAGTAAAAGTAAAGTAAATTTTTTTTAAAGAAATCAGCGAACGTTTCTGCCATTTCAACAGAGGTAGAGACCTCCTTATTACCAAACTCATACTACCATGAAATTGTCGGACTCTTCTTTTTGAATTAAAAAATTTCTAAAAAATTTTGGGATTTGACTTAAAGTCTCTTCTCATTTTCAATAAATAGTTAAAGTAACACCTTGAACTTTCAGTGACCTTTTCTCACTACTAGTATTTAAAAAAAATGTGGAATAATTTAACGAAGATTTGCATTTTTCAACTTTTTAAATAATTTACTTTTAATATTTCGTAACTTTCTAAGATAAGGAGTAGACCAAGCAGGTCCTTTCTCAGGACTAACTTTAAAGACTGGGACTGACGTTGAGAATGCAGTATTTAAAGTATTATAAAAGTATGACACACGTGCATCTAAATTTTCTCCTTGATCCCAATTTGTGTTGGACAATGCAAGCTGCGGTGTTCAAAATCAGCTTTGGCTGATTGAAGACTGATGGTGAAGATCTACACAGAGAAACGTTAACAAATGATGAAACGACTAGATCAATAATTCTATTTTTAATGTTTCGTACACAATTTATTTGAAGTAAATAAATAATAAATAGTGACCCAGAAATATCCATACCGGATACGTAGCATTGGGCGAAACTGGTACATAATCAACTTTGTTTTCACCTGAAACCCAAAACAATTCAAATTTTGAAGTTTGTGACTTTGAGACTTGTTTTATGAACTCTGCATGTCCAAGGTAGATGTTGACATGTAAATAGTATAATAAGGTATTATTTTGTAACTTACTAGTAATACAGAGGGCATGTAGTTGTTGTTGTAGCAACCCCTACTGACGTGGTACTTCTGATTCTTCTCAACCTGATTTTGCTCCTAACTCCAAATTCAAGAAGGCATATTTTGGGTCCATAATGATACCGGTTTGATGAGTAGGTTTGGTTGGCCAGTGATCAGGTGCAGCGTGTCATGTGGGCCTGTGCCACATGCTAGGCAAGTATTCTGCACACTGCTGTCAATCCGGGTTTAATACAAATTGAGGCGGCTACACTGTCCGGATCTTAATTGTGCAAAACTACTCGCGTTTGTAGGGACTGCTCTCGCTCTTCTGTGAACGTGACAGAGTGAATACCATTCAGCCTAGCTTGTAGTTACAGATTTAAGGGTTTTGGTTGTTTTAGTAACAATTTTAATTCAAATTTTCTCTAAACTTACGGTATGTGTTCCCATTATGTAAAAAAAAGATCCTTGCATAGAACTGTCAATGTAGGTCTAAGTTTGTGTCAATGTAGGTACAGTCTGTGACAGAAAACTTGTCTGCACAAGTTCACATCTTTGTATAGCCTCCACATAACGGTTACTTGCTACATTCGGAATTTTTCAACGTTTTTTTGACCATTTGCAAATTTCTGTCAAATGGCGAAGGGTATTCAAAGTTCACGAACTTACTGTTCTTTTGCGTGTTATGCCGTTGCACAGGTAAGACTTATGTAGATGGTGAGCAGGTGCCGTGGGGAGGCACTTTGTTTCGATTCTAAGGGAGGGGTTCTAGCAGGACTGAATATTTTCCCACTGCGTAACATTGACAGTCTACATATCTATATATGTAGTTGTCATTATATTTGGTCCTCTTGTAATGCATATGTTGTCATTATTACTAGTACTAAAAGTAATACATGTGCTTACCACAATTTGGGTACAATTGTTGGTCCATCCTACTCGAAGGGCCTTGCGGCCCGTGATTGGCTGTCACATATTTTTCCTGTCAAAACTTGTCTAGCGGGTAGGGTATTACAAATTTTATTAAATGTACAAATCCAACAAAACTCTGATTACAAATCGGACTGTTTACCAGTTTTTTAAACAGGGCCATGCCACTCGAAATAAGTAGTTATTCTTAGTTCAAAATAATTTGACAAATTTTATCTATTTATTATTATTTGGCTACTACAAATGGATACGTATGGCTCTGGTTGCGCTGCCGAGTGAATTGAATTTCGGTAGAGTTGGTGAATACCGCATGTATGTCTGTATACCGTTCAGACCTCGAGGTTTTAATCGTTGCCATGTGCCACTCACACCTTCTAAACCAAGAACGTTTTGCAAAAGTCCACAGTATTGAATATTCGCCTTGGAATAAGTATTCACCCGTCGTCCATGTTTTCACTTTAGTTTCTGTCGAGAAGTTGTAATCGTTGTTAATTTAGAACCCGACATATTGTGTTATTGGTTCTTACTTCTATAATTTAATGTGCCGATACTGTATATCATGCTCATGAATTCTGCCACAACAAACTGAAGTGTATTTCTTTCAGCTTGTTTTCAATTTCATTTGCATTTGAAAATGAATGTGAATGCCTGTGGCGGCTTGTCGTTATTTCGTGCGTCGCCTTTTTGACTCAATTTTTATTTTTACCTATTTACACAATAACATATTATTTGGGATGAAGATGATGGTGATGATGATGATGATTGGACCGTCTGTTGGTTTGTCGGTTGATTGGTCTATCGGTCGGGCGGTCGGTCGTACAAACATTTCTCTAAAGTTCAAATTATTTTCTGCATGACCAAACTAAAAATGCATGCCAAAAATACACTTCTTTGCCGTGTTTGTTGTTTTGCTTTCATTTATAGATGCTTTATTCGGCATCAATCTTCTGTTGATATATTTGGTCCCAGCTTTTTCACAATGGGATGATTTTAAACAGATGCTAATTTGACGCTGTACTAAACGAATATTAAAGGAACTTTCAGGAAATAAAGTACGCAAATAATAATTGTGTTAGGAGCAAAGAGAACAATTTCATTTTGAACTCCTTTAAATAAATAAACGATTGTTTATGCAACATTTATTATTATTAACACTGAAAATACCCCAAAAAAATTAAATAAGATAAAAAAACAAATAAAAAGCAGTATGTTCGGACGGGCCGAACTTTGAATACCCTCCACCATTTGGAACGAATTTGGAAATTTTCAAAAAAAAACACTATCTTGAACCTTTATAGATATTTCACTTCCAGAGAGTAAAGTGCTTGGAAATAACTTCTAGACAATTCCATTGAAAAATGTTGCTAAAATCATTAATATACCGAATTTAGGGAGGCAACGGTACCTCTATATACGATATCGTTCGGGCTATACGATATGTGGGTGTGTTTTCAGACAGTTCCATTGGAAAATGTGGCTAAAATCATTAAAATACCGAATATCGGGGGTACCGTTGTATGGGGGCTATACGATATCGTGGACCTATATAAACAATTCTCTTCCAGAGGATAAAGTGCTCAGAAAGAACTATTTGTGTGGATTTTCAAACAATTCCATTGGAAAATGTGGCTAAAATCATCAAAATGCCGAATATCGGGGGTACCGTTGTATGGGGGCTATACGATATCGTGGACCGATATAGCCAATCCTCGAACTTGACCTGTCTGCCGACAAAATACTGATCTGTGCAAAATTTTAGCTTTCTATCTTTATTCGTTTTGACTCCAGCGTGATTACAACAGACGGGCAGACGGACAGGGCTAAATCGTCTTAGAATTTTACGCTGATCAAGAATATTCATAATTGGTTATGTCTAAAATAATTATTTCGATGAGTTACAAACGAAATGACGAACTTAATATACCCTTCATACTGTGTATGGTGGAGGGTATAAAAAAGAGTTACATTATGGGGGCTAATCCTAAACGCGGACCTCTACCGAAATTTTCGTTTAGATATGAAGGGAAAGTAGTTTTAACAGCTCTTTTCATATGAGTGCGACTGTTGCGCGTATCCCAATCGAGCGTATTTGTTGTGGTCTGTACTTTTGAGGCAACGCGGATCGACGGCCATTGTCGAAGGACAGTAGTCAGGCAGTAGTCTTGGAAGATTTCAAACACGTAGCCAGAGGGAATGGCCCGTACGAAATGGTTAGCTAGAAGACAATATATAAACATTGTGCTTGATAAGGAATTTCTCTCCATATCGGGGTCTCTCTTTATAAATTTTGGAAGAGGTCGCATTTGCTTTAATGCCTATTAGCAAAATATGATAAAAAAAATTATCCCTTCGGAAAATACCTTTCCGTACTGAAAATGACACCCTATATTCAGTTGAAATTCTCATGGACGTGTTGGACGTAGGGAAACTTTTCGCCGGAGAATGCCATGGAATGGGTAAATTACATTATGTAATATCTCATGTGTTAAGTAGCTTTGATATATCCTATATATCCTCATTTTGATATTCATAGACACATATATAAAAACTATGATGTAAGTTAAACCTAAACAATAAAAATATTATAAAACAAATAAAAGATATTCGATTTGTCTTTGACCAAAAACATTTTTACATTTTTATTTTCAGAGTGTCGTTTGGTTCCTCCAAAGGCTCCATGGTTGAGACATTGGTGTTTGAGACACCAACGCCATTGTCTGAACATGTGGAGCCAAGCTTTGGATTTGGATCAGAAGGAGACTATAAAGCAAACATGGATGACAGTGGCATAGAGGTTCAAGAAGAGTAAGTACAAGTTTTGATTTTGGGTGTTTCTGTTCCAGATTTTAACACAAAGACATCGTCCGCCTGAATTTTACATGTTTTCAAAATAGGCTAAAAAAGAGAAAATCAAAATTGGTTAATTTTTCATGGAGTGCCCGATATTGTCCATTTTCGCACCTGACCTAGCACTGATGCTTATATTAGGATTCGCAAAGTTGGAGCAAAATCGGATTATCTTTTCACTTTCTGTGCAGTAAATTATTTTCTTTGAAAATGTTGGCATTTTGTGGGGGAGGTACCAGAAGAAGTGAACCGATATTGCCCATCTCCGAACTCGTTCTAAGTTTAACAATAATATTACGATGTACCAAGTTTGGATCAAATCGGATACTCCATTCGAGAGTTATCGTGCGCTCCAGTCAGACGAAAGTACGGACATCGCTAGATGGTCCATTTGGATTCGGTCCAAAGAGACCTAGGGTCTAAAACCGTTATTCCGATGAGGCACGTTGTATCAAATGATGTATACTCTCTCTAGCCATGTGGCTTAGGGTATAAAAATGGGTTAAGTTTTGCTGGGCCAGCATGGGTTTTCATTACATGACCCCAAGTAAAACTGAACACTATTTCTTTACACTAAATGACATTTTATGGATAATTTCTTTAATTTTCCTCTCCAGATGAAGAACTCTAAGAAAGCAATATATGCTCCAGCATACGATAGTCGAAAAGCTTTACTATTGATCTAAATGACATTTCAATGCTTATGCTGTAGAACGAGCTTCCATAGCCAGGGCTCTATAAACACACATTACTCAATTAGTATTTCCCGAAATCTGCAAGGTCCGGTCATAAGGTCCTTAGCCCACATAAATCCAATTCCAATGGATAATCTACAGATTCCGTCGTTCGAACGTTCTGGGGAAGGTTTCGGTTTAGGTAGATAACAACCAGCCTTTGAAGCCGCTTATGATCTATACATGGTGTTCAATAGGGTCAGCCATTCAATTCTGTATTCTGAGTTGAAAATTTTCATCCTCCTGCCTTTATGGTAGACAAATATTCCCCAGATCCACAAGATCAAAATGAGAGTATCTCAAGGCGTCCGGTTTAGCCTTTATCTTTCGAAACATTCTATTCGAACCGCATATTTCTCGGATGTTAATACCCTCAGGCCATAATCTGTAGTCTTCGACAATTTTCAGGGTTGTCAACCAGATAATGCAAGCTATGAATAGAAGCCTCCAGCCAGTAGCTGGCACAACATTGACAGCGACGACGCATAAGGTCGTTCCGTCCCTAACTATTCTGACCATCTAATCTAAAATCCTATAGATATATGTTTGAAACCAATTGAAACAATTTATCCAATTCGTTGTTTCCTTTTTTATTTAGAACTATGGATTTCAAAAAGCAATAGGAATATATTAAAAACCTTAAAATATCTGAAATAAGTAACAGCAGTTGCAAATGTTTTAAACATGACTGCAATTTCTGAGTATTTGAGATGCCTCCCACACAACAAATTCAATTTATGAAAATTACTTATCTACGATATTTTAGAGGATACCTTAACGAAATGTAACCCTTGATATATCCTCAATTCCACGGTGGAGTGGTCTCAAAACAACAAACAGTAATTACCAAAAACTGCGACGCAATATTGTCTACATGTTTATAAGCCATGTTCAAATCTCGCTTGGCAAGGTTGAAAACAACAACAACAAACTATTGGCATATGAAATGAAAATTATTAATCCAACCTTTTTTGGTAATGAAATCTGTTGTTGTTATTCGCTCTGAGCCAAAAATTTAAATGATTTTACGAATTCTATGTAGAAACAAAAGACAATGTGTATTTGCCTGTTTTTGTTTTGTTTTTGTACACTTCTCTACAAACTGCTTACCTCATTCGAATGGAGAGATTAAGAAATAAACAATAGCTGGAATTCAGATTTGCTTTTTCTGGTGCGAATTGTAAATCGCTAACTACATCATTTTGTTTTTGGTCGCCTCCCATGAATAGCTTATTCGGAGCGTTGTGGTGTACAAAAAGTAGTCACCTAAATCTGTAATCGTTGGTTGGTTGGTTGGCTGGCTGGTTGATTATTTCCGTCTTTTTATTTTTTTTTGTGGTGGCATTTTCATTCAACAATTTAAATGTTTTTTTTTGTTTATGAATCAGCCCAGATTAGATATGTTGTATAGGCTTAGCTTTTGTTGAAATCGTTAATTTTAATCACGTTCCTTACCCAGATACTACGATACCTCCGCCATACACTGTAATAGAAGGTAGTCGTTAGTTTGGGGCTATCAACCAACCCGCTATTATCAAGTCTAATAAAGAATTTGTTGTTTTTACATCAAAAGTAATTATATGAGTTAATTGTACATGTGCTTTGCTTTTTTGTGCGGAGTACCAAACTGAAATTATCCAGTTTCGCATTATTTATTTTATTTTTTGGCCAGTAATTTTTTTGATGAATTTTATTTTTTGTTTTTTTACATAATTTATTTTTGTGGTCTTGTTCTATTTCGGCTTGGCAGTCTGTCTGTTCATTACATTTCCCGGTCATTGTATTTTGTGTTGTGTATTTTTGTCTTTCTTCATTCTCGCTTTTGTTATTGTGAAAAGTCGCCAAAAAAGAATAACGAATTTTTTTACTTTGTAGTACATACATATTTACAGACAGACAACAACAGCCAACTCATCTGTATTTATTATGTACAGTAGTATATGATGTAAACTAGCGTGTCATTTATATATGTATGCGTTTGCTTAAAACAAACATAAAATAATTATTAGAATAGACATACAAATATATGCGACATTCCACATAAATTGAGCATGGTAGCATTTGTATTGAAAAGTCGAAATGAAATCTATACTCAACTCAAAATCGATTATGAAACGTCCACCACTGCCAAAGTCGACTTTCGATTTTTATACTTTTCAATACTAAGTCAACTTTCGTATACCACACAGCACAACCGTTTTTGACCCTGAAGCTTATAACACCTCGAAATGTTTGTCCAATGCCCTTGTCTTTCATGATACCTTGTAGTCACTCTAAGAAATTTATCATTAGGTCAGAGTCAGGATCCAAATAGAAGTCTATAATTTTTGGAGCAGATCGCGAAGTATTTAAATAATGAAATGTATAGAAAAAATATATATTATTCTTCATGTTCCTTTCGCTTCTGAGTTTACAATTATAACCGCAATATGTTAAGGTTTAGTCCAGACAAGCAGCGCTTAATTTTGGGCGATAAAAGGATAATATTTAAGGCATGAAATGCCATAAAATTCATCTAATACTGAAAGTCAGTTCCCCTCTAAATGCAATATACAAGATAAAATGTACTCTTGGTCGTTGGATTGATGCCAATTTAGTTAATGTAATCAGTCAGATATCCGAAATAAAAGCTAAATATACATTTTTCAATATTGTTGGGAATTTTAATATCATAAAATTGTCAGGAAAGTCGTCATCTTCTCATGGCTCCTGAAAAGAACCAAGTGGACCAAAAACTTACACATGAATGAAACAAGTAAAAATAACGTTCCGATCGTCTGGGGCGAATTCTAATATTACCATCCAGCATATGCAAACTTTAATTATGGCCAAATCGCTTTTATGGCTCAAAATCTCTAAAATTTTGTAAATTTTGTTAGATGTGGGAACAAGTAACATTCACTGGGAGCTAAATCAGGAGAATAGGGTGGGTGGTCAAGCAACTCGTACTTTAATTCGTGGATTTTAGCCACTGTAAAAACACTCTTGTGCGCTGGTGCGTTGTCTTGATGAAAAAAGATTTTTTTTGTGTTGTAAGCCAGGATGTTTTTCTCGCATTTGTACATTTAATTGATCCAAAAGGTTGCAATAGTTATCTGAATTTATTGTTTCACCCTTTTGCAGATAGCCAATCAATAAAATACCTTTGAAGTCCAAAAAAACCTTTGTCATAACCTTACCAGCCGATTGAATTGGTTTTGCCTTCTTTGGGGGCATTTCCTCCAGCTTTAGTCCATTGTTTGGATTATTCTTTTATCTCTGGAGTATAGTGGTGGATCCACGTCTCATCAACATTTATAAAACGACGCTTAAATTCCATTTTATTTCGCTTACAACGATCCAAAAAAGCTTGAGAAATGTTCATTCTTATGCGTTTTTGATCGACTGTCAACAACTGCGGCACACATCTTGCGGAATGCTTTTTCATCTGTAGTTCTTTATGGAAAATTAAAGGAACTCGATCATTTGAGATGCCCATGATATTAGCAATTTCACGCACTTTTATTCGTCGATAATTTAATACCATGTCAAGCACTTTGACTGCAATTTCTGTTGTTGTTGCTGTTTTTGGTCATTCACTACGTGGTTCATCTCCAATGATTATACGACCACGTTTAAATTCAGCAACCCAATTTTTTTACTTCTGCATATGAAGGAGCACTTTTACCTAACACATTTACCATATCATTATAAATTTCTTGTCCCGATAAACCTTTTTTATGTAAATATTTAATGACAGCATGTATTTCTAATTTTTTCATTGTGGATGCGTCCTTTTTGAACACTTGTTTCTGTATGAAAAAGTTGCCGGATCGAAACAAAATTTAACGTGAGTTCATAACAGAGATGGAACTTTCCAAAACACATAACTTTTTTTTTTCAGTTTATACCGCGCTTTTTGTGCTAGGCAAAGAAGTTTCCGAACTGCCCTCGTAGTTGGAATTTTGCACTACAATTAACTACTCAATTCACACACAGTTTCTGGTTTGTTCACAGAACAACAAAGATCCCTATAAGGAAAATCAAACATATCTAACGGCATAAAGAAAACTTCAATTGTATTCTATAAAATGGAACCACTCTAAGCGTTGGTCACTTTTTTTTTCTCCCATACAAATGGCCCATACCTTTGGCTTATTCGCACCCTGCTGGCCTGGCCTATTCCCCCTCCTAACATTGATCAAAAACCAAGCGTTTCTTGGGAGTCTCAAACGAAAATTGTTG